GTGGCATTGGGCACACTTCTGAACAAAAATCTTCTTGCCTTTCTCAACATCACCCATTTTTAATTCGTTCTTTCGTGGCTCGCGCAAAGAAGCAAAGAAGGATCCCGATCAGAAGCCGGACGTCCCACTCTCTAGCCCAAGGACACGCCGGTCTGCGCCTATGTACCGGTGTCATATTGGCACATTCTTAACAACCAAAGTTCATCATTTTCATTAGGGTTCATTCTTGGTGTTATATGTTGTGTGAGTTTGGATATGTATCCACCATTTATATATCATTACAATTTTTACTTATTTTTTGGTACTAGGAATTGAACCCAAGGGCACTTAACAACTGAGCCACATCCCCAGTCCTTTTTTATTATTTTGAGACAGGGTCTTGTTAAGTTGCTTAGGACCTTGCTAAGTTGCTGGTGCTGACTTTGAACTTGGCAATCCTCCTGCCTCAGCCTCCCCAGCCACTGTGATTATAGGTGCGTACCACCACTCTTAGCTCAGTTTTTATTTTTAAAATCCATATCTTTCTTTTTTTTTTTAAGAGAGAGAAAGAGGGAGAGAGAGAGAGAATTTTTTTTTTAACATTTATTTTTTTAGTTTTCGGCGGGCACAACATCTTTGTTTATATGTGGTGCTGAGGATCGAACCCGGGCCGCACGCATGCCAGGCAAGCGCGCTACCACTTGAGCCCAAAAATCTATATCTTCCCACATATTTTTGAGCAAAGGAAAATCTCTTCAACTATTCTGTTTTCTAAAGAATGGACCTCCTATCCAACAAAATTAAATATATAAACAGGTTACCTAAACATCTTATACCTGTTTCTTGGTGGTTTCCGCCCTTTGTTTGCACTATCGTATCCGGCATCTTCTCCAGTGAGTCTGTATACTGCTGTCTTTCCTAGCAGTTGACATGGAAAAAGAGATCTTATCTTCCACTGCAAGTGGTGTGGTGTTCATTTTCTGCAAAGTCATCTCATCTTGTGCATAGCTGCCATGCTGGGAACTCAACCAGATTGTGTGAAGACAGGCAGCAGGATTTCCCCCTCCCTCTGGAAGAATGCTCAGCTCTGCAGTATACTACCCAGAGATCTATTTATCTGGAAAGATAATAGCTGGTGAACATGTAGAACATAGTTTAGAGAAAACTTGGTCCCTGGTTCACTCCCAGGTTGCTGCAAACAAAAAGGAACTACAGTACAAAAATAAGATTGATTGATGGGAAGGAAGAAAAAAGTATTTTCTTACTCTATAAGTATATGTGTACAACTTCTCTGAGCTGGAAGCCTTTTCCCAACCAAATTTCAAAGTCAGCAGTAATCCTGGAAGATCTCTGATATGAATGTGGCTGGGTGCAGTGGCACACACTTATAATCCCAGTGACTCTGGAGACTGAGGCAGGAGGATCAAAAGTTTGAGGCCAGTTTTGGCAACTTAGGAAGACCCTGTCTCAAAAAATAAAAAAGCCAGGTGTGTGTCACATACATGTAATCCCAGATGGTTAGGCTGAAGCAGGAGGATTGTAAGTTTGAGGCCAGCCTTAGCAATTTAGTGAGAACTTAAGCAACTTAGCAAGACCCTGTCTCAAAATTAAAATTAAAAGGGTTGGGAATATAGCTAAGTGGTAAAGTGCCCTGG